TTTCGATACATGACTGACGAGGCAGATTTTTTCCCGTAGTAGGTTGCCATTTCTTTCTGCGGTAGAGCAGTTTCCATGCTGCCCTGCTATTTACCCATAGCTGGGACGGGGGTGGGGGAGAAGAAGCGGATTTATACTTTTCCTAAGAGTATTAGCACGTAAGTGAATGTAATGAATTCGATTGGAATTCGAACTGGGCTCTCCGATTCCTCAATCCGAGACAGATTGTTTAAGTTTAACCGAAAATTAGTACGATGATCATCTGACATTTTTTACTTGAAAAATATAAAAAGATAATTGATTTTCATCGAAAATCTTTCTTCAAGTGGCTTCAGAATATGAAATAAAAAACTAAATGGGCAGAAGAATTCTTGACCTGAAGATTTGGAATAATACATTTTACACTATTTACATTATTCGGACTATTGTCCTCACCTTTGTGGCCATATTTATCACAACGTTTCGGCCGTTGTACACTGCGGCCTTATTCAGGTGGTTGGAATGTCAAAGACACATAACATAGTGGACAAAGGCGTTACTTAGATCAAGTGACAGGACCCAAAGAATGTGAGTTCAATACCTGGTTAAGGCGGCGGAGAACTTGGAGAGGGGGAATTTTCAGGAGATAACTGATATCCATTAGACATGGCACGTGGAACTACAACAGTCTACCCCAGCGAGCGAAATAAAAGGTTCAGTTCGACATTCCAACCACCTGAAGAAGGCCAGGGCGTACAACGGCCGAAACGTTGTAATAAATATGGCAACAAAGATGAGGACAATAGTCCAAATAATGTAAATAGTGTACATAATACCTCATCTCAGAAATATAGACAGATAATATATTTTACTTTTCCATTAGCAATTCCTTACTGGTTAGTATTAATTCTTTTTGCATTGCCTAAACCAAATGTACGAGAATAACTCGTGCTTTCTATCATTAGTCATGAAGTAATTCTTATAATAACAGAACTGCTATGATTTTCACAATTCTTCTCATATCCGAAAGAGATAGGTTTCAAAATCCAAAAGGAATGAAAGAAAACACATATACATTACATACTAGATTAGTCACAATGAAAGAGTAACAACAATTTTATTATTATAATTCTGCTTGTAGTTCCATTAGTTAGCATGACCACCTTTTTGACATAGTGATTGTGGGTTCGATCTCTGAGTCGGACAATGTGTATTTACACTCAGTAGAAACAGCCAAGCAATAACTGAACAGTGCTAAATAATATAATATAATAATTTATAAATAATATAATATAATATATATAACTAAACGATATCCCTAAGCATGAGCAGTGGAACGAGAACAGTCCAGCTCCGTAGATTAAATAAAGGGTTCAGTTCGCAATTCCCTGTAAGTTACCCAGATCGATACACACCTGGGGAAGGCCGGGGGACCCAACGGCCGAAACATTGTGATAAAAACAAAAAAGATGAGGAAAATAAAAAAAAAATAGAACTTGTAAATCTTTAAATGAACATCGCTTCTTATGTTTACATGAAAAACTAAAAATTATCAAATTTACTGACAAAAATACCTATTAAACCAAAAGAGTGAATTAACTGTAAATTGCCGACACAGATTATTTAATACCTTATAATATAGTTAAACTTTAAGAATTACGCATTACTATCTCTTATAGCTATAATTTATTAGTATATAATGGTCCGCTCTCTACGGGTAATTACCTTATTTTGTTTATTCAGCTTTAATATTTCTATGTATTGTCATCCAGTTAGTATTATTAATATCTAAAATAGATATTTCACGTTTTTAATTTTATCTACAGACTCTTTTAAGAAACTTCCTGAATCTAAAATGTTTTAAAAAATCCGTTAACTTTACGTCTGATTAACTTGCACTTCCCTTCAACCTCCTTTCAAAAAAATGTCATATTTCTCTACAATCACGATACATTTGTCGCTAAAATATTTTCCACAATTGTCAGTGATAACCTGTCTATGTTCTAGTTTATCATGGCATGAAAAAATAACTCATCCACCTCGAACCTCTGACCTTACTTTTCTATTTAGCGCAGACGTCACATTTAATTAGTTAATCAAGACATACCCACAAAGTTTTAATTTTAATTCTGAGTTTTAATTTTAATGCTGAACATAATTTCCACCTTTAACTTTCGGAAAATAGATAACACTTCGTTTTTAAATTTTCTTAAAAATCATTTAATCAGCTGTTACTTACCATCGCCTGAAGAAGTACAATCAAAGTATTGAAACATGAAAGCTTTTGTACAGCGATTTCATCATGTTTTTATTATGATAAAAATAATAAATATATAAATAATTTTACTATAATAAAAATAATATGTATAAATATATATATATATATATAAATATATATATATTTATACATATATAAATATATATATTTATATAAATATATATATTTATGTATATATATTTATATAAATATATATATATATATTTATATATATATATATTTATAAATATTTATATAAATATATATATTTATATGTAGATACACCTAGTAGACCAGACAAACCTACCTAGGTTTCACCTAAACGGATCGTCAGGAAAGTTTCCTGACGATCCGTTTAGTGAAACCTAGGTAGGTTTGTCTGGCTCACTAGGTGTATCTAGGTCTGCTCTACGGTTGTACTGAGCTCTTTTGTTAGTTAGTTGTTACTCGTATCAGGGTTTTTTCTTTGGGCTTCAGACCTGCATCTGTGCGATTTTTTGTCGGCAGAAGTCCATGTTTGTAGCTCTTTCTTTTTTTAAAACCTTTTTTCCCTCGAGATTGATTTGATTAGCAAATCAAAAATTCGAGGGTTTTTCGAAACGAGTCTAGTTATTTATATGTATTTATATATGCATATATTTATATATATATATATATATAGATAGATAGATATCTTTATATATATATATATATTTAGACTTATATATATTTAGATATATATATTTATATTTATATATATATATTTTAGATATATATATATCTAAATATATATATTTAGATATATATACTTAGATATATATACATTTAGATATATATATATTTATATATATATATATATTTATATATATATATATACGCACACATCTAAATAAATATATATATATATATATATAAAATATTTATATAATTTAAATAATTTTTTTAATTTTCGTCTTTCGAACTTAAGAATTTGAATGATATATATTATAAATAATTAATTATAATATTTTAGGCAACAATAATAAACAAGTCTTAACACAATTTTAAATCATCACCACGAGAACATGAACCTAATAACGGTCAGAATATACTTAGCACCTAAAGATTGCAAGACCACATGAAACCTGAAATATGCTTCACATCGTCTCCAGACCACAGCTCAACAGGCTTTGTGTTAGATCTGGTCAAGATCCAAAATAAACAAAGTTAATTAAAACCATGCTCACAACCCAATGCTACTTCCGACATGAAACACATCTGTTTACCTGCCATTTTTGTCATTGATAATGATCGCTAGCATCGCGTTATGTATTGGTTAACGTTTAAAAACAAACGTTTTTAGCACAACTTTGAAAATCTAACTTTCATTTTTTTTAAAAATCGCAAGTGACTGACACGTCTACACACACACACACACAAAAAAAACAACAATAATCTGTCCGGTGTCAAAAAAAGCTACTGGTGGCGCCAGGGGTGGCAGTACTGCCTTAGCCACCGAAACCCTGTTACTTAGCCTGGTTGGCGGTTGACGAGGACAGGATATCGCACGCGCTTTCACACGTTGTATGTAGAATATATATATATATATATATATATATATATATATATATATATATATATATATATATATATCTGAATATATCTAAAAATTTCTAAATACATATATATATAATTATATATATATATATATATATATATATATATATATATATATATATATATCATATTTGCTAATATTTAAAATTTTAAATATATCTATCTATCTATCTATCTATCTATCTATATATATATATATATATATATATATATATATGCTGTAATCTGTATTGAGCACTCTTTTAAGAATAGTATTTTTTGGTTATTGGAATTTATTCCGTATACACCAATCCTATACTTAAACATAGATACATACATATATATATATATATATATATATATATATATATATATATATATATATATATATACACGTGCAACTTTCACCTGATTTTTTTCTCGCTTTCTTCCCTCACTTGTTCTCTCCTCATTCGCTTTTCCCAGTTCCTTCTCGTTTAATCTTATTATATAGATTTCTCGGCCAGAAATCGTAATTCCAGCACAGGAGGATCCAGGATCGGGTAGATACTACACACTGATTTTTTTCTTTTTTTTTTTTTTTTAATGTCATGTCTCTTCAGAACGTCGACGGTCTGGGCTCTCCACAGATTCCTTTACTTTATTCGCTATGAATTTCTACGCATTCTTCGTAAATATCATGGATTTACTAGATAGCCCAGTTTAACCAACTATTTAACCCATATCTGGTTGAAAAAAAGATGGATTCCTAACTTTTACGATGTCATTAATGCGAACGTGAACTCAACAGACGCAGTCGGGATTAGAACCCAATCTACCGATTCCAATTTTCGCACCAATAACAGTTATGCTATTCGCACACTGAAACAAAGTAGAAAATTAACACTCATACGGAAGCATTTACCATATCTTCATTATATAATGCGTATTGGCGTATATAATACACCATCTACTGATTTGAACAGATAACTTTTTTAATCAATATTTTCTCATTCTTAGACAACGCTCAACAAAGTTTTGATAATAGCTTACAATGTACAATGAGCTTCTGACCCGTTGTTTAGTATAAATCTCTGGTGTATTTAGGTAATAATACATATTCAGTTAATCTTCTTCACTCCTACCTGTAGGTCTCCTCCAGAGCATGAGCTGCGTAAAAGTAAGGGGTTGCTTTTGAAACAAAACTTAGAGCTAAAAAGGTGACTGGAGATTAGTCATTATTTTTTGAACAGCAGGAAGAGAGAGAGAGAGAGAAGAGAGAAAGAAAAAGAGAGAGAAAGAGAAGGAAAAAGAAAGAGAGAGAGCAAAAGAAAGAAAGAAGAGAGAAAGAGAAAGAAAAAGAGAAATAAAAAGAAAAGGGAGAAAGAAAAGAGAAAGAAAAGAAGAAAGAAAAGAGAAAGAAAAAGTAAAAAGAGAAAAATAGAAAGAAAAGAGAGAAAAAGAGAAAGAAAAAGAAAAGAGAGAAACAGAGAGAACGGACAGAAAAAGAAAAGAGAAAAAGAAAGGAAAAGAAAAGTATGGAGAAAGAAATAAAAAAGAAAGACTGCGATTTCAATGACTTAGCTGACTCCTGATTTTCTCATTTTCGTGTTAAGTTTACTTTGAACCTTCTGCTGTGACTACACTCGCATGTGTGGCTCTATCATTAGTAAGACATTACACGCCGAAAAGTCTAAAACCCAGACCTGTCATTCAAAATAAGTTTACTCGTGAGAAAGAAAGCTAAATTTAAATCAAGAGAAACTGCTGGATTTTTTTCTTTAATTTCCCACCTTTTGTTCTTGACCGATGACCACACAAGAGTTGATAATGGCTTGACGAGACTGGATCCGTCCTCCTGTCAGTATACTTTAATTATTCCAGGAATAGGAGGCACAAGGTGCGACCTTGATATCCTTAATTGACAGCAGGATGTTATTAGGCATATTATTTGGGAGATAAATCTTTCCGTTAGCAGAAACTAAGCTTCTTTAGCTAGTTTCATATATAATATATTTCTAAAGAATCAATGGATTTTTATTTTTAATCCGACATTATTTCTCATTAGTCTAAACGGTATTTTTAGTGGTTACACATGTTTTTGTTACACACACACACACACACACACACACATAGATATATATGGTATAAGAATGACAATAGGAAAAAAAACTTAATTTTTGCTGAAGCGTTTCGTCTTCTGATTTTATCAAGGCAAAATTGTCATCTTTATACCAATTTGTCTTATCCACAGAATTGTTCTGGGAATTTTACTATATTGCCGACATGAAGAGAAAAAAAACTCTTAGTATAAAGGAAGTTAAACATTAGCCAGAAAGAGGCTTACGCAAAAGCGTTTCTCTCTTTTTAAATTTTGGATTTAATGTAACTTTGTAAACAAAAACATTTCGTTTCAATTTTGCCTTGATAAAGTCGGAAGACAAAACGCGTCGGCAAAAACAAAGTTTTTTTTTTTCCAATTATCATTCTTATACCAATTTGTCTTATCTACAGAAATATTCTGGGAATTTTACTATATATATATATATATATATATATATATATATATATATATATATATATATATATATATATATATATATATATATATATATATATATAATGATATGAAATAGCGAAATCCCTTCACTAACTAAATTTTAAAGATGCATTAACCCACTAATCACTCGATGAATGTTATGATCCTTGATTTTTAAGGATTCGTCCACGCATCATCAGGCATAGAAATTTTTTTGTCTTTGGTAAAATTCAGGTAGCATCAGAGAACTACCGAAAGTACTTGCGTGTTTAAGGAAGACCTAATACAGATTATAATTTAAAAAACCAAAGACCATAACATTCATCCAGTGATTAGTGGGTTAATGCATCTTTAAAATTTAGTTAATGAAGGTTGTTTTGCCATTTTATATCATTAACTTTACTACTTTATGCATGAATGATTCATTGTAACACACACAAATATATATATATATATATATATATATATATATATATGAGAGAGAGAGGGGGGGAGAGGAAATAGATTAAATCCGACATATTTTTAATTTATTTGTTTAGACGTTATTTTTAAATGGTTACTCATATTTGAGTAGTTATTTCTTCTCGTTATCTGGATTTGTTTTCTGAATTAACTTCTCTAGCAGGTTAACGTCAACACTTATAAGACAATTGTAAGTTTTAACTTCGTTAAAGACATGTCTCTTATTCAGGACCGGATTTAGGCATTAAGAGACCCCGTGGATAATAGAATTTAGGGGCTTCTGTGTATGTTCGAACACCGTGTCTATAAAAGAAAAACAGATATATTTTAAAATTCTTTTTTGGTGTAAGACCTGAAACACTTCAACCTAAATTTTCATGATTTTAGAACTCATCCTATTCATTAACAACTTCATATTTTTTTATCCAAACATCTTACAGAAATGTATTTAGAATGAAGGACGATCTGTATTGCAATGAAATTCCAGAGTGAGAAGAAAGGACAAAGCATAAACTACAAGAAGACAGAATGCATGGTCATCAGAGCCCGAAATGCAATTTGCAGGTCGGGAATACCAGAATCAAGCAGACACAGAAGTTTAAATATCTGTGAAGCGTCTTAACAGAGGACTGTAAGTGTGAAACTGAGATCCCTAGAAGTATTGGGATGGCCAAGAACACATTCCAAAAGCTGAACAGAGTATTGCGAAACATGAGGATTTCTTTGGTAACAAAGAAAAGAATACTGAGCTGTTACGTGACATCTGTTCTTCTTTACGGCAGCGAATGTCGGATGATTTCCTCAAAGATGAAGAAGAGACTCAAGGCGACGGAGATGTTGTTCTACAGAAGGATTCTAAGGATATCACGGACCGAGCATGTGAGCAACAATGAGGTCTTAGAGAGGTTACAAACAATGAGAAAGCTTATATTTAACACCAAAAAGAGGCAGCTTAATTTTCTGGGACACTTAATGAGGAAGGAGGGCCTGGATAATCTGATACTCACAGGTCAAATAGAGGGAAAGAGATACAACGGAAAACAGTGCGTGACATACCTGACGAGCTTGAGCAGTGGATGACAGAACGTGGTCTGGGGGAGGAAGCAGAGGGAAGCAACCTGTTGAGAGCTGCAAGGTATAGAAGGAGGTGGAGAGCCATGATCGTCTACGTCATGAAAGGACATGGCACATAAAAAAAATAAAAAAATAAATCTGAAAATTTTAATCATTTTGGAAATCATCCTATTTATTTCATTGACGACTTCACGATGTTTTTAATCCGAACTTTACATCTTACAGAAATGTATCTAGAATGAAAGGCGGCTTGTATTACACTGAAATTCCAGTATTCAAATTCACTAGCAAAGCATTCTAAAAAAAAACAGATGCATCAAAATCTAAATGGACCCTCTTCAAGGCGCCCCATTGAATTTAAAAGCCTCACTCCAAGTAGAGGTGAGAATACTCTAAATTGTTTCAAATTAATTCAAAGGATCCCCATTAAATCTGAAATTAAACAAATCTCCTTTGTTCTTATATCTGAGTTTTTTTTTTTAGTTTTATCAGGGGCCCAAGAGAGCCCTTAGGGAAGCGCTCTAATATTGGGCTGCAACCCATATATAAATTCGGCTATGCACTTATTTGATATAGTCAGTGGGAGGTTCAACGTGTTAACGAAATATAGGAAATTCTCTCAAACAAACGAGTAAATAAATTCTCCAATGCAAACGTAATAAACACACAGGCAACTTTCGAAACACTAGACAGATAATCTATTTCTCATCAGTAATACAGGTATATTATGATAATTTATATTAGAAAACAAAAGCTGTTTCTCTGTCCGTCACACTCACTATCTGCGCGCTTGGGTGATTTTTTTCCATTTCATGTACAAGTCAGCAACCGCTTGAAACACGACATTATTAGAATAAATGCATTTCCCTCCCAATCTAATCAATGTCATAAAACTAAAACAAACGTTGTTAAGATCGCATTAAATCCAATCTTAAACATTTAAATGCTCATCTCGAAAAAAAGTGCTGGAAGTGGCGAGTGAAAGAGAACACTATAAAAAGTAAATGTGTTTTGAGGAATAGAAAATAAAACTAAAACAGTCTATAAACAATTAAAATCAATGTCGAGTCTGAAAAGATGGAGTCCTCATGATTTCTTATTTTATTGTCTACGTTTTTTTATTGCCTATTTGTGTTGTCTTTTGCAAACTTCCGGTTTCTTTTTTAATTATTATGAAGTGTAATGACAAAAGTACACAGGTGTAGGCTTTAAGAAAGCTTTATTCAACTGAGAAGACAAGCTTCGCGTAAATACAAGTTTCGCGTTTTCATTTTTTTCAATATTGTTTTATGGCCATCCGCCATTTTTTTAATTATTTTTAAACTGACATTACATTGTCAGTCATCATATACATAGTGTATGTGCACGGCCGGTGGGATACATAAAATGTAATACGTAGGAGCCCCCGACGAGGTTAGAACCCCCAAAGAGCTAGTTTCAGAAGCGTTTTTTTTTTTTTTTTTTTTTTTTTTGTACTTTTTTACTTTTTTCCTGTCTAAGTTATATTGTCAATCATTAACTATAATAATCGAGAGGGTCGGTGCTTACTACCCTGAACCTCTCAACTGCGTGGGGGCCCATGTCTACTGGGGAAAGAGAGCAGAAGTGCTAATTTCAGTAGCGCTTATTTATTTAAATTGTAATTTTCTTTTTGAATAGTTCTTTTAAATCAATTAAGAGGATAATGTATCTCGGTAAAATCATTTTTAATTCCGAGATCATCTACTAAGAAGGAACTCTGATTTTTTTTTTTATTATTAATAGTAATACTAACCAGAAGACCAGTAATTAAAATTAAATTTCTAGAAAGATAAAACCGAGAAAATGATCACTTAAAAAAATAAAAATGTTTTAAGATTTCAACACATGAAAAATTTTCCCGAAATCTGAAATACTGTTTTTAAAAGAAATTTTCAAGACAATCCCGATTGTGCTGTACTGGAATCTTTGTAAATTTATTTTTTTTAAACGGGAATGCGTAGGCGATTAATCAGTATGGAAATGTAAAAAAAATGCGACTTAAATATTTTTTTCGTGTAAATTTTAGTCATGAAAATATTAGTGGTTATTACAAAAAGAATAGCATTTTCTCAGATTTTTAAAAATAAAAAACCTATACATTATCAAAGTAAACAATTAATGAATATGTACTGAAATTTTCATTTAAATTAGATAATTCCCTGATTTTATGTAATTTAAAAAAAGCTCTTCCCTTCCCTCCCAATTTCCCTTCGAGGGTTTGTGTCCCCCAGATTGTGATTTTTTTTTAAATTAATATGTAGTAGAGAGAGTGGGGCTAGTATCAAAGTTTCGGTGGGCGGGGGCGAGACACTAGCGCTGGCCCTGATTTCATCAATAGATTTTTATATTACGATTAATATTTATTCAAAGAAAGAAAGAAAAAGAAAAAATATTTCTATGCTATATTAGGAAAGACAAAAAAATTAATTTAAAATTTTGCTATATTAAAAAGTGTAAACCACGTGATCACTCAAAAATCACTACAATGTGAGAATGTTAATTTAAATAATCGGATTGTTGGTTTTTGTTTTTTTGTTTTTTTAGAAAATTTTGTTATCCGCCCCACACATCACACCCCTCCAAAAAGCTAAAAGTAAAGTTATATCTCTAATTTTAAAGTACGGGAACCGAAAAAAAAGTACAATAAATATTAAGCAACAATTTTTTTTCTGTTAACTAGAAACTAAATTCGTCGTGTCAGTTTGGGGTCAATTTTGAAATCATCTGACCTTGGAGAAGGAAAACATTTCAACCCTTCTCCGTCTGTTACATATAATTTTAGTTAAGTTCCAAATCATTTTTCAGAATTTCGTAGCTTTGTCCTAATAAGAGGCTAACGTGGTCAAAAGTTTAAAAAATAAATTGAAATAATGGGTGATATCTGATGTAATGAAATAACCTGCCACCCTCATGAGTGGCGGTACTATAGGTGGTAATCACCTATAAGTATCCGTTATGGGGGAGGACAGAAGAGTTGAGCTGGGATCTTTCCCAGCTGCGCTAGTCGAACTCTCTGCCTTCGGGCAGAGAGGAACCCGGACGAGGCTATGCCGAAGGGCAGAGTTTCGTCCGGGGAGGTAGACAGACCCGATCCCGTTTATGCGGGGTCCACGGGGATTTTTTGGCCGATCCACATGTGACTGCGTGGGGCAGTTGCTAAATAGCGTCGTCCTGGGATCTTTCCCAGCTGCGCTAGTAGAAACTCTCTGCCCGAAGGCATAAAGGAACACGGACGAGGCTATGCCAAAGGGCTCAGTTTCGTCCCGGGAGGTAGACAGACCCGATCCCGTTTATGCGGGATCTACGGGGATTTTTCTGCCGAGCCTACGGGCTCGGGAACCCCACTTTAAATTCAGCCTTGTGCCACATGTGACTCCGTGGGGCAGTTACTAAATAGCGTCGAGCTGGGATCTGCGAGAACTAGCGGCCTTCCGATAGCTGCACGCACACAACTGTACTGACTTGCGACGACCGTGCACATAACTATTATTTCCTTGCTTGTTGTACTATTTTCTACAATAAACCTGTTACTATTTATCCACTGTGTTTGTCCAATCCATATTCCTTTAGCACGGAATATAACAATATCTTTTGGAGTCGTTTTAGTTATTTAACATAATCTTTCATGGCGTGATGATTGCGTAGATCCTCACGACTGATTATCCATTGTAGGTTTTCAGCTTAACATTCTGCGGCTTCATACATTTACTGAATGACTGTTTTGAATACGCCACTAATGCTATCGTGTTTATGTTTTGATGTCCACAAAAGACCGTCACTTTTTTTCAGTAAATTTTATTCTTTCTTGTAAGATAGAAGGTAAGTGGCCATCGAGCTGCTTTTTTCTTTGTAAGGTGATGTTTTCAGGATAGATAGAATGTAACTGGTATCACCTTTGTATACTTGCCATCTAGCTTCTTTTGAAATCGTTTTGTCACTGCCCTTGCGATGTAATAATCATAAAGCAAAACAGATATTGCTATGACTTAGAAGTATTTTATACAATAAAACTGATTTCCAGACTATTGATATCTTGTCTATTGCTGCCCAAGCTTTACTAAAAGCAATGTTCACATCACTTATTGAAAGAGATATTACTTCTAAGATATTAATGGCAATATTAGCCGTTTCCCTATAAGGAAACATCCGGGATTAATTAACTGAGCAGTCAGTACCGCTTTCGTTAGAAGTTTATAAAATCTTTCTCTTAAAACAATTTTTCATGGAAATAGGTTTCTCAAGTCCAGTAGCTGTTATTGATTATTCCAACATTAATGAAGGTTTCCTTCCTAACTATTTATTTGAAGTAGTGTGGAATGTCAACATCTTGATTATGTCATTATTTTCTCTTTGAGTTACATGTGCTATCCATTTTAGTTGTTGCTGCTGTTGGTAGTCCTCAAGTGATGTGGTTTCTGTTATTTAGTACAGTTCGTTGTTTGCGATTCTGTAGCGCCAGTTCACAATGTTCAAAGAAGACCCTCAGTCTTTACTCGCCCAAAACTCTTTAATTATTAATCTTAGAAAGCGGTTATATACAGCTGATAGTTAAGATATTTCTGAACGTGTTTGACGCCATGCTTGACATTCATATGAAAGTCGCGATCAGACGTGGCTATTTAAGAACATAGATGAACTGATCGACCAATTTAATGGCTTGTCTGACAGGGAATTGATGGAGTCTTGATGATTAAAACATATAAAATCTGCTTTGTCTGCATTTACATTAAAACCGATTCAACTTGCTGCTTTCTGTAGACTGTACAATAGTGGTTCAACCGGTGCGATTTTATCTGCAAAGAGGGCACGGACTTGTCTATATTTCTGAGATGAGGTATCATGTACACATTTTGCATTATTCGGACTATTGTCCTCATCTTTGTTGCCATATTTATCACAACGTTTCGGCCGTTGTACGCTTCGGCCTTCTTCAGGTGGTTGGAATGTGTACTGGTAAAAATGGTTGCTGAAGACATTAAGTTTATAAGTCCCAGAAATTCATACACAGATGTCCTTAAGGACACATGGCACAG